ATGAGTTTATGTATCTGTGTTTATGTATCTGATTTTATGTATCTGATTTTGTGTATCTGTGTTTATGCATCTGTGTTTATGTATCTGTGTTTATGTATCTGTGTTAATGTATCGATGTTTATTTATGTATTTTTGTATCTGTGCTTATGCATCTGTGTTAATATATCTGTGTTTATATATCTGTGTTTATGTTTCTGTGTTTATGTATCCGTGGTTGTGTATCTGTGTTTATTTATATGTGTTTAATTTTGTGTTTATGTATCTGTGTTTATGTATCTGAGTTCATTTATATGTTTTCATGTATCTGTGTTTATTTATATGTTTATTGTGTATATTTATGTGTTTATGTTTGTGTGTTGATGCATCTGTGTTTATGTATCTGTGTTTATGTATCTGTGTCTATGTATCTGAGTTTATGTAACTATGTCTATGTAACTATCCCTATGTATCTGTTTTTATGTATCTGTGTTTATGTATCTGTGTTATGTAACTATGTCTATGAATCTGTGTTTATGTATGTGTGTTTATGTAGGTGTGTTTATAAATGTGTGTTTATATATGTGTGATAATTTATCTGTGTTTATACATTTGTGTTCATGTATATATTTTTATGTATCTGTGTCTATGTATCTATGTTTATGTATCTGTGTTGATGCATCTGTGTTTATGTATGTGTGTTTATGCATGTGTTTTTATATATCTGTGTTTATATATTTGTGTTCATGTATATGTTTTATGTGTTTGTGTTTATGTATCTGTGTTTATGTATCTGTGTTGATACATCTGTGTTTGTGTATGTGTGTTTATGCATGTGTTTTTATATATCTGTGTGTATATATTTATGTTTATGTATATGTTTTATGTGTTTGTGTTTATGTATGTGTGTTTATGTATGTGTGTTTATGTATGTGTGTTTATGTATGTGTGTTTATGTATGTGTGTTTATATATATGTGTTTATATATGTGTGTTCATGTATATGTTTTATGTATCTGTATTTATGTATCTATATTTATGTATCTGTGTTTATGTATCTGTGTTAATGCATCTGTGTTTATGTATCTGTGTTTATGTATATGTGTTTAAATATCCGTGTTTATATATATGTGTTAATGTATATGTTTTATATATCTGTATTTATGTATCTATATTTATGCATCTGTGTTTATGCATCTGTGTTTATGTATCTGTGCTTATGCATGTGTGTTTATGTATGTGTGTTTATATATCCGTGTTCATATATTTGTGTTCATATATTTGTGTTTTTATGTTTTTGTATTTATGTATCTATATTTATTTATCCGTGTTTATGTATATGTGTTTATATACCAGTCCTTAACGCTATCCTTAACGCTCCCACGCTCGCGTTGTAACCCTCTTCCGCAGAGCCTATGAGCTGCCACAGGATGTCTTTTCTGAGGCATTGTTGGAGACACCATCTCTCGATGGTCTGTACACACCGTATGTGTCGTTTCACGACACAGCGTCATCCGCCGCAACACCCGGTCTCCATAGCAACGCAAATGCCACAGATCTGGACGTCGCCGATGAAAATGCCACAGAGTCGCTGGTAGAGGCGGCGATGAATACGCGTTATAGCGACAATGTGGAACGGTCGAGAGGGGTAGCACGAAGACACTCGCCACACCAGGCAGCACCAGCACAGCTGTCAGTGACATCCACTCACACGCTCACCCAGACCCACGCACACGCACACGCACACCACCACACACACACACACAGCCGACTCAACTCATTGTCCCAGTCACAGGTGAATGCACATCTGCCGGAGGATTCAGACACACATACGCACACACCCCCCCCGGGCAAGCCACTGGCGTGTCATGGACGGGTGGCGCAGGTGTGCACGGCTCAGTGTGTGGCAGCGTCACCCACACTGTCACACCTGTCCAGTGCATCGTACACGGGCCACTCGCTGTCACACAATCTGTCGCTCACCACCTCATACACGTCCCAGGGCAACGACGACTCGGACCAGGGCCTGCTGGCCAGGACCGGTCCCAGGACAATTAAACAGGTGCACTCGTACACAGGCACGCATACGCACTCACCCACGCAACGCACACGCACACGGTCGCAGACCAATGCCCACACTAGCTCACACCTCAGCGTACAGCAGAGGTCACCCTCGGCCATGAGCCTACACTTCACCATTGACGAGCGCAACCGCACAACCAACAAGCAACGCACCAGGACAGCCGGTCCTAAAACCAACCCCAGCAGGTGCACCAGGACAAACGGGCCCTCGCGAGACACCCGCCCAGACGAAGAGGGACAGGGCAGGTCAACCTCGTCGTCGTTTCCGTCGTCCAGCAGTGCTAGCTTCAGGGAAAGCTTCTCAAAGCGAGTGACTTCGCCTAGTGGGGTATGCGTGTGTATGTGTGAATTGCATGTGAAGGTAGTTGTTCTACTGTGGTATGTATATATGTATGTATGTATGTATGTATGTATGTATGTATGTATGTATGTATGTATGTGTGTGTGTGTGTGAATTGCATGTGAAGGTGAGAAGCTCACACTTGTGCGTGCTGCCTTCACCTATTGTCGCTTTCTGGATAGGCTTTTAAACAGTGGGCCAGGCTTTTGAACTGTGTGCCATTCCAATTGTCTCTTTTTGGATAGGCTTATGAATGGTGTGCCAATCCAATTGTCTCTTTTTGGATAGGTTTTAAACGGTGTGCCAATCCAATTGGCTCTTTTTGGATAGGCTTATGAATGGTGTGCCAATCCAATTGTCTCTTTTTGGATAGGCTTTTAAACGGTGTGCCAATCAAATTGACTCTTTTTGGATAGGCTTTTGAACGGTGTGCCAATCCAATTGTCTCTTTTTGGATAGGCTTTTGAATGGTGTGCCAATCCAATTGTCTCTCTTTGGATAGGCTTTTAAACAGTTTGCCAATCATATTCTCGCTTTTTGGATAGGCTTTTGAACGGTGGGCCAATCCAATTGTCTCTTTCATACAATAGTGTAGTTGTTTGTTCCATCTCTCTATCCACCTGATTCATCGATGACTCTATTGACTGCCTATTCGCAGCCACTCCACACGTTTTAAGCGAGTCCTACATCGGTGCACTCACCTCACCTGCGCACATTCGCGTCTTACTCACCACGCCAGTGTAACACTCCTGTCAATTCTCTCACACTTGTCTAAACACTGCTCTCACTTCTCTCACAATTGTCCAAACACTCCTGTCACTTCTCTCACACTTAAGCACTCCTGTCACTTCTCTCAAACTTAAACACTCCTGTCACTTTCTCAAACTTAAGCACTCCTGTCACTCTCTCAATTTAAACACTCCTGTCACTTCTCTTAACACTTTTCTCGTTCTCTCACTTCCGTTTGTACAGAACATGACGAGACACTATTTACACACGACGTCACTGCCAGACTCACTCAACTCAGCGTCTTCCAGTGCCCATCTCGACCCCAACCACTACAGCAACGACCCAGACAACAACGATTACCTACAACACGACCCCAATGACTCACCAGACATCTCACACTGCATCCTGGACAGAAGGTCCTCCAATGGGTGGGTACCAATGGCAGTCACGTGGATAGCACTATGCCATATA